GCCCCTGGTTGATGTTGGCTCACCTACTGAAGTCGCGGACGAGTCAGATATGGACCTGGACAAGGACCCCGACAAGGAGATCGTCCGCCATGGAGCGCAGAGTGTGAACAACGTTACCATCAAAAGAGAGATGGTAGAGCCCAAGTTGGAAAAGAGGAAGAGGGGGGATGGCGATATCCACGATGCAAGACCGGTGAATGGACCAGACGAACAAGAAGAAAGCCCCACCAAAAGGCCCTCGGTTGAGGAACGTCCGGTCACCAGTCAGGAACTACGCCACCTGCTTCACCTTCATGCTCTTGAGCTCAAGGAGGCCTGGCAAGTCATGGAGGACCGAGTAGGAAACGTGGAAAGAAAGCAACTGAACCAGTCTGGGGAGATCTCCTCGCTGAAAGGACGGGCCAAAATCAACGAGAAGGAAGTCCTCGCCGTTAAACAAGGACACGAACTTACTGCACGAAGGGTAGACACTTTAGTTGAAGACGTGAAGAACCTCAAAGTGCAGCTCAACGAGACGAAGGAGGCGATCGACAAAAAACAAGCAGTTGGACCCCCACCTGGAGCTGGGGTGAATTGCCAGGACATCTTCTCGGGTGACAATCGCAATGCTGGAGTTGACCCCTGGGCCGATTATTTACAACGACGTGGGCGGGGTGATCTTCTAGGTGCCAATCGTGGAGGAGGAGGGCGAACTTCAACGGGGAGACCTACGGGATCGGCCTTGGACTCTAGTGCTGCTTTACCAGGGGGGCCGGTACAGGAGGACATGCTGAGCGAAGACGAGAAGAAGACCTTGGTGATTGGAGGATGGCTGCAGGATACAAGGAAAATGGTTATCGAGGCAGAATTTGAGGCGATCCTGGCAATTGATGGCGTGCGGGAGAACGTGGACACGGACAAACTCGCAGTCTACGGCCCTCGCCGCAGTGTAGGCATGCTGAAGTTTTCAGTTCGTGAAGGAGAATGTGGTCTTGAGGCCGTTAGAGAGCGCATGTGGAAAGTCGTTCGGGCACTCTCGCAGCGTAAGCTTGTGCTGCCAAGCTCCTCCGGATCAGGAGAGGAAAAAACGGCGTGGGCGGCCTTTGTCAAGACCCGGGTCGCAAGGGCCCGAACTGCACATATCAGCATGGCCAGGCGTGTTTGCATGGCGCTCGCGACGGAGACCAAAGATGAATCGGGGGCGGTCAAGCACTTGCAGAGTACTATGGCCTCCTCTTACGACATGGATTGGGGGGCGGGAACCATGTGGAGCGGCAATCACAAAATTGCTTCAGCTGCGCACCGAGCACCTCGAGCACAGCAAGCTGAGACCGTCCTCATGTCCAATGGGTGGATCAATCTTGATGCCGTTGCCCTCGTCACCGGAGCCACGCCTGAGGGTGCCAAGAGGGCATTCGAGATTGAGTTGTGACATGACAGGAGGGTGAGTTTCACGCCACAGACTCCAGTTGAACCTGATGAAACAGTCGGGGCTGACATGACCTGTGGTTCGCCAAACAACGGGACTCGGCCTAAGGCACTCCCGCGGACTGGAGGACCCCCTCAGTGTGGAAAACATCGATGGGGTCGTTGCATGCAGTGGAATTTAGGAGGCCAGGACGTTAAACTTCTCGACCTGGCTGCAGTGGATGTGGACATCGCATTTGTACAAGAAGTTGCTCGAGGACAAGAAGGATGGAATGAAGACGACACGGACCACTTCCACTGGGTGACATACAAGAGCTCTGCATTGTGGAGAGGGGTGGGGATTGGAACTGCGGGGGACAAATTGGACTGTGTGGTCAGCAAGTCGGCGTCTTCAAGAGGCATGTGGATTCTTGCCAAGCTACGTGGACTGGGAAGGGTGGTCTTGGGTTGCCTACATGCACACACAGGGGTGACCAATGGCGTATACCAAGCGGCGGTCCTGGAGTTCATTCGCAGTTGCCCCGGCAAATGGAGACATTATCCGTTATTGGCTGGATTCGACGTGAATGAGGTCCCCTGTTGGAATGAGGAAGCGGAAGCACTCCACCTTGGCTCATCGTCCTCCAACCTCAACCTTCTCACAGAACAAGCCAACCAGCTCGGAATTGAGCCGAAAGCGCCTGATGTGCTCTTTAAGTGCGCACCAACGCACTTCCCGAGGGATGCTTCTCGTTCTGGACGGCAAATTGACATGCTCTGGGGACGACATGTGCTCACGACATCTGTCACCATCGATGCCGAAAGGAGACACACAATTGGCACGGACCATGCAGCACTCATCATGGACATTTGGGGTGGAGGAGCGAGCTCACACAAGTGGGGAAATGACTCCAGAGCACGCTTCATGGTGGGCGACTTGCCGGATACTGTCATTGTGGACGCGGACGACCTGATCAAGATGGCCAAAACCTGCACGGCGCCCAGACGTGGACAGTCTTACAAGGACCCGGAGGAGGTGAAGGAGGCGATCTTCGAAGCAAGAACCACTGGTGACCCTCAGAAATGGAAAAAGGTGCACAAGCTCCGCCGACGAGCAAAGCGAGAATGGCAAGCTGCTCGTCTGACTCGCATCCTCAATGGCGATTGGGAACAATATCGCGCCCTTCAACGTGAAAAAGCGAGGAAGAAAGGCTGGTGGGGACGACTTCTTGAGAACAACACCGCGCAGGAGATTACGTCGCAGGTCCTTGGTCACCTCAAGGAGAAGATGACAGATGACAATTTCCCTGACTGGGACGACATCCTGCAGGATCACATCGACTCAGTGCAAGAGGACGACGTCTTCGTTGACTTCTCCATCCTCGAGGTCCGCACCGCACTACAGGAGATGAAGCCAGGAGCCGCCGTTGGTCCGGACGGACTAGGGGTGCACTTCCTGAAAGCCGTTGCCAATGACGACAGGTATTGGGGTGACCTCCTTGGGCTGATCAACCACATAGTTGAGCATCAGGCAACGCCGACAGTCTGGGAGGAAAACTTCTTGGCTTTGCTGGCGAAGACAGACTTGCCCCGCAAGCCGGCAGACCTTCGGCCCATCTGTGTCAGCAGTGCATTTCACAAGATGATCAACAAAATGGTCTGTGCTCGTGCGCTGCCTCACGTTCGGTGTGGATCGCGAGTCTCTGGCTGTGGCAAGGGCAGACAAGCAGCGGACGTCATTGGCGCCCTTTGTCGTGTCAAAGAAGTCGTCCAAGAATGGAAGCTTCCGGCCCTCGTCTGTAAACTTGACATAGCAGGAGCTTTCGACAGGCTTGATCGTTTGAGAGTCATCGAGCTACTAAAGGACCGCCTTCGCGAAGCAGGGGTGCCACATGAACTTCGCTATCTGCTGGCCCAGCTCAAGGTGTACACCCTCAAGGGGACTGTTCCGGGAGGAAATGAGATTGAGATCCACCCTAACGTGGGCATCAAGCAGGGTGCTCCAGAAAGCGCCGAACTGTTTGGCCTAGTTATGGAAGCTCAACTCGCAAGCCTCGTCGACTCGAGAGGGTGGAAGCAGCTGGGTCCGTGCTTGGGTGACCTGGACTTCGACTTAGCCTTTTACCAGGACGATATATTCGTTGTGGAAAGTGAGCTACCCCGCCTCTGCAAGCGCATCAAAGTCTTAGACCGCCTACTACAAAAGTCGGGACTCCGCCTCGCCACTCAGAAGACCAAGATTGTGGCCAGCAAGTTTTACGTCGGGGTGAGGAAGGTCCAAATAGACCAGGACATTTTCAAGGTGGCGATGGAAGAAGACACCCTTAAAGTATTGGGACTTGACTTCAACCTGACTGGCCCGTTGGCACAACAAGCTCGTGAACTACTTGGTCGCACCCGTCGTGCAGCAGCAGTCCATCGTGACCTTCTTCGCGGCCAGGCGGCCTGGATGAACAAAGTTAAGATGATGAGCACTCTGGTGGCTTCACAATTTCATTGGAGAGCAGGTGCAATATACTGGGGTGCGGAGGAATTGAAGCAGGCAAACACACTGCAGCTGCACATCATGAGAAGTGCTTTCTGCATTGGCAGGAGGAAGGATGAGTCCTGGGTAAGCTGGAACACACGCAGCATGCGAGAGTGCAGACAATGGCTTGCCTATAATCGTCATTCCAGGTGGTCGACGTTCATTCTCACCCTCCAGCACACACTGCATGGACACTGGGCGAGAAGAGTGGAGGAGGTTGGATGGCCGCCGAGACAAGAACCTTGCCTCACCATGCGAACTCTGACTTGGAGGAACTCCCGATGGTGGAGAGCTCAGCAGGCACTTGGTCCACGGCTGGGGACAAGACACAAGGGACATGTCTACATCAGCAATACGGAACGTCAGCTTGCTGAAGTTCATGGCACCGCATGGTATCTCCTTGCGAATGATCGTGCCAGATGGTCACAAGAACGGGCTGCCTACCTCGAGAGATGGGACCCCAAATGGAGCCATGGACGCCAACTCTCTGTCCAAAACTAGCTTAGCAACTGGTCGTGCCAAGGCGAATGAAGCGTACCAGGCTGACTACCTTGGCAAAATCTGGGCTGCGAGGGCTTGCTTTGGGCTCCTCGTTTGAGCACTTCTTATCAATTCCGAGTTGGGCCTCCTATATCAGTCGACTTGCTCGACCGTGCTCACCTTCTACATCCTTTTGTACATGTGTACTCCCGACACTTCCCAAATTTACCTGTTGACATGACAAGACCTACCCTCTTTGCAGTCTTCGTTCTCCAGTACCTCTCTTTCACTGATTACCAAGACACGTCTCTGGGTGTGGCTGTCAGCTACATCAGTTGTTTGCATGTGAATGTTCGATGTCGCCCACCTCACCGATTACCTTGAGTTGCCCTAAGAGCTGAACTCGTCCCCAGGCGCCTCTACCGTACACGTCACAATGACACGCTTGCAAGTCTGATGTTGTTCGCGGATTCTCATGGAAATTGCAGACAAGCAGTTGACTTCATGCCCAACATGTGCAGATCGCCTGAGCAAATGATGAAACTCTCTTTGCACACGTGGCTCGAGGCTTTTGGACATACCACCCGACCTCGCCTTTTTACGTGCAATGGCGTGGCGCCTGCTCCTCGCCTTCTACCTGTTGGACCTCCACGAGCTGGGTGAGACGATGCCAACGGAGGATGCTCGACCACCCACCAGCGACCTCGACAATGCCACGAACCCTTGGACAACACGCGGTTGGAACGAACAGGAAATCGAGGAAGCAAGGGCCAGGACTTGGTCCTATGACACGTGGACGCCCACCGCCATGCCCTGGACGAGCCCGTCGGCTTGGGATGATCCGCAAGCAGAGAGCTCCGCGTCTTTGCCGCCAGCGCCTTCTACCTGGAGTGGACAATCTATTTGGGATGACCCCGCGCTGGACCCGCCTGTCACGTCCGAGACGCCAACCTTGGTGGGGACAGCATCCTGCTCCTCCGGGACACTCTCGGACCTCAGCAAGTACTTACGCCGATACAAGAGACAGGGGTGACTTCCTCGTGGACATCGCCCTCGGCTTCATCCTGCTCTACCCCCCTGTGGTCGTCGCGAGGATCTACATCAACCGGGGTGAACATTGAGGGGACCAGGGTGATTTCGTCGAGTACATCGTCAGCGGCCTTCCCGTGCTCTACCTGGACGTCTTCTCCGTCTATGACAGCTGGCCCATCGAGTTCCTCATGGAGTCCAACCACACCACAGCCAGAAACCTCGGCTGAGGTTTGTGCCTACTTGGCCAGCCGCTGGGACGAGGAGGTATGCCTTGGACTCCAGGAAGAAGAAATTGCGAGTTGGCAAGATGCAGGACACGGTGAAGAGGAAGCAGCATTTCTGGCACCCATACCTGAAAACCTGCCGCTCCCTATTTTTGGTGTGTCAGAGACCCTCCCTGAGACGGAGGCTGATCCACAAAGCGACTGGCTGGAAGCACTACAAGATGCACGTTCTCTTCGGGGAAAAGCACGGGAAGAACAAGGCCGACCTCCGCATGGCAGAGACCCCTCGACGCTGACCTCGCCCTCATGCTCATCTAGGAGTCCGCCTACAAGTGACACCCAGGCTGGAATCACACAAAGAGGCACCAAGACAAGGGTGGGTGTTGATCGGTGGCATCACCCGGATGGCAGTATAAGAAACCGGCGACAGGAACAACTACGCCTTTGCAGCCAACCCGCTCTGTCGTCTTCTTCTCCGATAGCGGGTGATCATGCTACAGTGGATGCTACAGCCAACAAGGAGGAAGCCCAGCCGAAGAACTGCTCGGCCCTGCCCAGTGAAAACACTACTACGGCTGGTGAGACAGTGACGACTGTCAATAACAGCAGCACAACGGGCGCCGACGACGCACATGCTGGACCCTCCTCGAACTCTTCGGCATCCTCGTCGGTTGGGTTTTGGGCTCATGGAGTATGGCACCCTCGAGAACGCACGCCGGCCGAACAAAAACAGCACAGGGGTGGGATGGGACCGCAACGCACCCAACGCAAGTTGGATAGGATGAATGCATACTGGGCTGGAAAATGGAAGCCGGCCTGGCTTGTCAAGTATATTGACGAGAAGGCTCAGCGTCAACAGTCCATGGCAGTGTCGTCGCCTTCGCCTGAGCCAGGGGTGACCTTCCAGCAGGCGGCACCCGCGTCCACAACAGCTAATGTTTCCTGTGTGTGGGGTGACAGTGGGCCTGATGGGGTGAACTTTGCAGCAGCTGAGCCTTCAGACATGACTGATGTGGACCCATGGTCTGGTCAGTGGCAGAACTGGACTGGCAGCTCCTGGTGGGACACCTGGTCGTGGAACACGCACTACAATGGCGAGACGTGGACATGGACTACTTCGTCAACGACCTCGGTGGGTGACCTCTACGACTTCCCGCCGAACTTTGGCCTCTTCCCGGTGGTCACCCCTGTCACGCTCCCGGCAGCCACCCCCGTTGCGCCGGAGGTAGAAGAAGCTCTGTTCATGCAGCTCACGGGTGCGGAAAGACAGACGCTGAGGGAAAATGGAGTTCCCACGGAGGCCATTACAAGGGTTGCTGATCTTCTGGATCGATTGGATGATCACAACTCCTTCGAGACAGGACCCGAAGCGAGATGGGCCCTCTGCCGACTGGTCCAACGTGCAGAAGATGGGGTACAGTGTCTGGAGGCCATACTCGAGATCCTCCACCGTCGGCTTCGTCCTCGTGGATACCTTCCTGTTGTACGTGTACCCAGACAAGAAGCGGACAGAATGAGATTCTTCACTTGGGTGAGGCAGTACACCACACTCTTCGTGACGTCCTTGGAGCGCCACCTGTCCATCATGCTCCAGCCGGTTGAGGGAATTGACTCTCCGCCGCCACCCTATGACCAAGTTCGGCCCAACCCAGCGGACAGTGCTACCGTAAGACAAGCAGAAGCCTTGCGAAACGAGGCAGTGGCATCGTCTTCTACAACGGCGGCGATGGGGAACAATGTGGGCACGGAGGAAGATCAAGAAGCTGCGTCATCCTCCTCATCCTCAGCCAGTCCGTCTGTTGCAGTTCGACTTCGTAGCAGGTCTCCGGTGAGGACCAGTACTGGAACCGGCCCCGCTGAAGTTGCAACGGCCAACAGCCTCGAGTACACGCCGGGGGAAGAAGTACAACAGGCACTGGCGGGTGAGTTGATGGGAGTCTGGCGAGAACCCACCTCTTCTACGACTACGGGCATGATGACCACCACCACCGTGGTCGTGACCTCGCTCTCACAGTTTGGGTCGACTTCCTCCTCTTCCTCGCCGATTACGACGTGGACGTGGACGACTTCGTCTACGACCTGGTGGCCGATGTGGAACTTGTCGTCGGTGTCTACGACCACTACCTCGTCGTCCTCGGCGCCTACATCTATGGACGTGATTCGGGATGCAGTCAGCCAAGACCTGTGGCATGGGAACGATGCGGACGTGATTGACCTTCTTCGACGACTACTTGATAGACAGCGCGTCCTCAGCAGGTACCAGGCTCATGTCACAGTTGCCCTTGAAGAATGCTTGACATGGTTGAGACGCAGTCGACATGGCCTTGCTCTCAACGCGGCAACGATGGAGTCCCGCCTCTGGGGTGTCATTGGACGTGAAACCGCTACAGGAGATGCCACTTCTGCACTGGGGAGTACGGGGCTTGCTGAACCGCATGTTGCTCTCCTGCACCCTGGTTTCCCCTTGAACCTGGACGACGTTGCGAACATCTTGCCGGGGGTGGAACCGACTACAGCGGCGGGACTAAGAAGGAGAGCGTGGAGAGCGCACGTGGCGACTCTTCATCAAGCGGCGGGGCTAACTGTTCCATGTGGCAGATGGCCTGCGGAAGATGACCGCGACCTCTTCCTTAGTTCAAACGAATGCCGATGAGGAGCTGGCCAACTTCCCGACGGACCAGACGAGGCCACCAGACCCACTGCGCCAACGACAAGTGGAGGGAGTTGCTGCACGACGCCGAGGACAACGCCTTCGTCGACGACGTGGGTATGGGGTGGTGGGCATGCCGGCTAGTCGTGGGTCGATGTCGGGGGCATTGTCCTCTTCGGATGCGCCGGGACTGGACCCTGGGTTGGTGGCAGCGCATGGTGGGCGGGAAAGAAGTCGCAGCAGAGATGGAGAAGGTGACACCCATGCCGGCGCTCTTGGAGAAGATGAAGTTGCCGCTGCTGATCTGGAGGAACAGGAAGACGATGACTCAGAGGCGGACTTGGCACGCGAAGCTCGGGTACGTGACGGACGGCGACAAGGTCATGGTAGCCCACCTGAACATCATGATCCTCATGCCCCGAACGAGCTGTCCTGAGATGAACCTCATGCCCTGCACGTGCTGTCCTGAGGCTGGTCTTTGTGAAGGTGGTTGGAGGTAGCTTATGTGTTTTCTTCGTGTGGAATGTCTGGGCTGTAAATGCCTTGGCTTCTACTTTGGTGTGAGAGCGGTACAGCGAGCACCAGGCACTCTTTAGTGTAAGCCTCGTTTTGAGGCAG